TGCAAATATAGTGTGTTTCTGACCATCACGGTTAGTCTAGATAGCAGCTGGGGCCTCAGCTCCTAATTGGGAGGCAGGAGGTTTGAATACCAACAGATGAATTGTGTACATGATGGAATGGGATTAGTTCTTATTATGTTTATGATGATGGTAACAAAATTCTTTATGGAGAGAGAGAAATAATAATCTCATACATTGGATTACCTTTAAGATGAATTTTTATGTATTCTAATCCTCTATGAAGCAAGGGAGTCAACTGCCGCAAAGTTGATAGCAGCTAACTAAAAGTTGCATGGTCACTATACACATGTCTTTGCTTAGATTCTCATACATCTATTTCATATTGAGAGGTGAAATTGAACTTAAAAGATACAAATATGAAGTTACTATTGGTAATTGGTAGAGCAATTTTACTAAGATTTAGTATTAACTTTACTAGCACTAAGTTTTTTAGTTGGATCAGGATTATAGTTATTAACTAGTACCTATAAATATATTATAACTTTCAGATTCTAATACATAGTGAAAAAACACTTTCAATGAACATAGGTAAAAATTCTATTGTAACACAAATTTTATGTATTTGTTTTTGATTATTTTAGTTCTTGATTGTTTATTGCATTGCATGTTTGAATGATTGAATTAACGAAACTAGTTAAGAGTCTAATAAGTCAATATTAGAATGTTTAAGAAAAGCCATGATTCCCCCAAAAAGTTAAAAAAAAAGAAGAAAATCTCATTNCACAAATTTTATGTATTTGTTTTTGATTATTTTAGTTCTTGATTGTTTATTGCATTGCATGTTTGAATGATTGAATTAACGAAACTAGTTAAGAGTCTAATAAGTCAATATTAGAATGTTTTAGAAAAGCCACGATTCCCCCAAAAAGTTAAAAAAAAAAAAAAAAGAAAATCTCATCNATTGCATGTTTGAATGATTGAATTAACGAAACTAGTTAAGAGTCTAATAAGTCAATATTAGAATGTTTAAGAAAAGCCATGATTCCCCCAAAAAGTTAAAAAAAAAGAAGAAAATCTCATTTGCTTCATTATGATTCAAAAAGAGTTCTATATTTGAGTATCTGATTTGGATATATTTTTTTTAATTTTTTAGTCCATATATAATTCAAAGTACTTGACATCAATTCTATGTTTCAAATTCTTACATAGCTAAAATATCAAGGAAATAGTCCATTCTACACACATACCATGATAGGGCCAAAAGAAAAGGAAAAGGGGGGGGGGGGGGGGG